GCTTCTTTACCATTTGAGTTGCATGTAACTTATATATGTATTTTGTATATTTATCTATCTATTTGGCCTAAGTGTGCCCACCACTAGTATAAAATAAAATAAACACAAACCCTACTCTATTATTTGTCACCACATAGGGCAACAACAGCAGCCACAGGAGAGGGTTAGAGAGAAGGAAAAAAAGAAGAAGATGTTGCAATCAAAGAACTTTTGGTGTGTGTTGTGTTGTGTGTGATCATCAAAGGTTAGCCCTTCTAGGTTTTCTTCTCTTCTCTTTTATTCTTCATCCTTATTCTATAATTATTTATTCATTTATGGAGAGGTTGTAGTTTATGTATTGTGTATATAGATATTCTATTAAGAAACTTGAGGAGCTAAATTTATGTGTAAAGATTGGGTGTAATTTTCAGTCCAAAAATTCTGTGCAAAGTCATCTCTCTCTGGGGCTTGCCGAAACACATTGGTCAGCAACGTAGTTTGAAACACTTGGTCAGCAATTCCTTTCGGTTGTGCCAGCTGGAATACTTGGCCGGCAATTTTAGCCTGGTGCTTTGGCAGAATATCACATCGATTGAATTGCATCGCCCTCAAGATTCACATTAATTCGAATTTTGGATAGAAATTGCATACATTCATCGGCAGTGTGGTTGCTGAGGTGTCTTTGTACAGAGACAACATTGAAACCCATTTGATTCTTCTCAAAAGCACCTACAACTGACAAATGTTTCGCAATACATGTAATGTATAATATATAAATAAACTCTTAGACTGCCAATTCACAAGTTGCACTACTACAATTGGTTAACCTTGGTTCTTTAGAGAGAGAAAGTAATTAATTACCGAGCAATATGTTTGTTGAAAGTTTTCCCAGCAAGATTAACTAATAATGTAATATTTCGACATGGGTGCATTCATACATATAGAAGCATAATAAAAATAAGTTCTTTGGAAAATGATGGCTTTGTTATATATTTTGCCAACCAGTGCTATTCGGAGTCTCACATAATATTTTTTATCAATTCCTAGAGAGAGAAAACTTACAACCCATAATTTTGTGACATATATATATATATATATATTTATATTTTATCTATGCTCATGCTTTCTGGGCTTGATTAAAAAACTAGTATACACACATATACGTAGACTAGAAATATACAAATAAATTCTTTCAAAGAGAAAAACAGCTTCCCTTATTCAGTGTAGGCCGACTTGCAGCCGATCATGTGGTTGGAAACTTTTCTTAGCTTCATGATGTGCCGAATCACTTGGTCGGCATCTCTTTGAATTTGGCTTTGTTGAGAATGTGGTCGGCAAGACTGCGTTATGCATGCAACACCTTTGATCTTTGGTTTTGCCGAGGTTTGGGTTGGCATTAACGGAAGCCATTAGAGAAAAAGTGAACCCAACTTGTGTACATGTGCATATATATGAAGAATCACATTCAAGATATGCTTTGTGAAACAAAGAATAAATAAATAAATAGATAGACACGTGTATTAATTTAGCCGAGCAAATGTGTTGACTTGCTAAAAAGATGTTCGTACCAATAAAGGTGTGAAACCCATTTTTAGAGAGAGAAAAATAGCTACTAACCTCATCTTGTTTTGACAACCTTTCTAAGCAATATTAATACTCAACAATGCTTTGATCAAATCTGTGAGCATAATAGATACATACATAGATGTGTATATATATATATATATATAGTAAATGTGTGGCAGATTATTTGTTTTTATTGGTACCCAGAAAATTATTGGTGTTCATGTTATAATCTGTTTTAAGTGAAAAATGTCGTTTATCATGTTCTTGCGAGACATGAGTATTTTGAGTGTTGAATTGTGGAACCTTCTTTTTGAAACAGATTGTATTTACCAAACTGTATGCCAATCTAGTTTCTGTGATATATATCTTATTTTGGAATTGAACCCCGTTTTCAAAACTATATTTACTATCCATGTTGCTACTCACTGAGCTATCAGCTGACTTAGTTGTTTACCATTTCCAAGTGTTAGACGGACTTAGAGTGGACTTATGGCGTAGCGGGGACTCAATTGCATGGACCTCTAGGGCATTCCTTTAGTTTAGAGTATTATGTCAAGTTTGTGCATATTTATATTTATTCTTATCGAAGTTCATTTAGGATTATTTTTGATATGTGGGTTGTTTATATCCCATAAGTTTGGGATGGTTTTTGATTACGGTTGATTTTGCCGTTTATAATTGTGACATGTCTGGATTGAGTTTTGGTTATTTATTATTGGACTATTGTTCAGTTGTTCAATGTGATTGGATTCGTGTTTAGGCTTACGTGTGCCTTGGGCTAAGTCCCTGTGGGCCACGGCCGGTCATGCCCGGATTTGGGGTGTGACAGTTCGCACTTTGATCGTGCCTCGCGACTTGACTTGCTTCGCAAAGGTGAGTTTCAGCCTCTCTCTGTCTCTGTCTCTCTCTCTCAACAACCCTTCTTTTTTCTCCTCTCATGTTAGCCGTGTCTGAGAAAACCATGCCGAACCCGACACATATCTCACACCCGCACCCGTGTCGTGTCATGTCGACACGGGTACTCTGCCCTAAACTGGCGAGTCCATATAACACAAGCTGCAACAAGCTATGCAAGAAGAGATGCAGTCCTTGCAGAAAAATCAAACTTATGATTTGGTGAAACTTCCCTAGGGTCGAAAAGCATTACAGAACAAATGGTGTTCAAGTTGAAGAAAGATGGTAGTGGAAAGCTAGTCAAGTATATGGCTCGATTGGTTGTTAAAGGTTTTGGGCAGAAGAAAGGTTTTGATTTTGATGAAATCTTTTCGCCAGTTATGAAAATGACATCCATTCGAGTAGTTTTGGGACTAGCGGCCAGTTTGAACTTGGAACTTGAACAGATGGATGTGAAGACGGCATTTCTCCATGGTGATCTGAAGGAAGAAATTTACATGGAGCAACCAGAAGGTTTTGAAGTCAAAGGGAAAGAAAACTTAGTCTGCAGATTAAAGAAGAGTCTCTACAGCCTCAAATAAGCGCCGAGATAGTGGTGCAAGAAGTTTAACTCATTCATGGTGGGTCATGAGTACAAGAGAACTGCTGCAGACCAGTGTGCTTATGTTAGGTATTTTCCTGGTGGAAACTTCATCATACTCCTGCTCTATGTTGATGACATGTTGATCGTTGGACAGGATGCCACAGCAATCAGATTACTGAAGGAGTTATCGCAGTCCTTTGACATGAAGGACCTAGGCCTTGCACAGCAAATTTTGGGCATGACAATTATGCGTGACAGGAAAGCCAAGAAGTTGTGGCTGTCACAGGAGAAGTACATTGAATGGGTAATTGAGAAGTTCAACATGAAAGATGCCAAGCCAGTTAGTACTCCGCTGGCTAATCATTTCAAGTTGAGCAAGAGTTCTTGTCCCTCTTCTACAAAAGAAAGAGAAGAGATGAAGGCTATTCCCTACTCATCTGCCGTAGGGAGTTTAATGTATGCAATGGTGTCCACCCGACCAGATATTGCTCATGTTGTTGGAGTAGTAAGCCAGATTTCTTTCCAATCTAGGGAAAAAGCATTGGGAAGCAATCAAGTGGATTCTGAGATACCTCAAGTGTACGACAAAAACGTGTTTGTGCTTTAGAGATGCTAAACCAGTCTTGGAAGGCTATACTGATTCAAATATGGCAGGCGATCTTGATGGTAGGAAATCTACATTAGGATTTATGTTCACTTTCGTAGGAGGAGCTGTGTCTTGGCAGTCCAAGCTGCAGAAGTGTGTTGCTTTATCCACATAACCGAGGCAGAGTATATTGCCGTAGCGGAAGCTGGAAAAGAGATGTTGTAGTTGAAGCAGTTTCTCTAAGAACTGGGACTAAAGCAAGAAAAGTTCACGGTACATTGTGATAGCTAGAGTGGCATAGAGCTGAGTAAGACTGATACCGAACACGCGAAGGGATGGAAAAGCAGTTATTGGAACTGATCAAGAACCACATAGATAAGAATCCAACTGACATGCTTACAAAGGTGGTCTCGAGAGACAAACTCGAAATTTGCAGAGACATTGCAGAGATGGACTTCAAGTGAGAAGTCAGTCATGCATGTGGGTATGGAGGGAGAGAATTGTTAGATCCAACCTACATGCATGCATGCAAAGATGGCGTAGGAAGACCTCCATTGGAAGTGAAAGTCTATACTAGGCATATATGCAAGCTTCTCCCTTCCCTTCACGTTGTTGGCATTGTTGACACTCACCATTAACCATTAAAGAGGGTAGAATTTTTGGTGGGTTGGTATCTCTCTCTCTCCCTCTCTTTGTGTATAAATAGAGATGGGAGGGAGAGGATGTATGGTATCAGAAAATAGAGAGAGAGCTGTAAATTGAGTGAGAAGAGTTGTTCTCCTCCTCTATTTTTGTATTTTGCTCCATTTGAGTGAAAATTCTCATTTCTGCTCTGTGGACGTAGGCATTGGGCCGAACCACGTAAATATTGTGTTCTCTGTGTGTGGGAGATAATTTTTTAGGTGTGTTTGATCCTAACACAAGGGACAAGTGCTGTCTATCTGAAGCATTGCAATCAATCCATGTGGGTCTATTATGTGTGCAACAACATCCGAAAGATAGGCCTACTATGTCATCGGTGGTTCTGATGTTAGGAAGAGAGGATGCATTGCCCTTGCCCAAACAGCCTGCCTTTTTCACTGAAAGGAATCTAACTGAAGCAGTTAGGTCATCCAGCAAGACTGCACTTAGTTTAGTCAATGATTACACCATTACAATAATAGATCCTCGATGATGTATTTATATATACACATTATTTTATTGTTTATGGGCACTTTTTTGAATTAAATTTGGGTGTTCATTGAATCAAATTTGGGCACTTTTTTTAAAAAAACTTTCTTGGCCGAGGCAACACTGAATGCAAGAAAGCACAAATTTTAGCTAACCAGACTGCACTACCTAGAAGCAACCTCAAGCAACTATGGAAGGGATGAAATTCAGATCAAACGGGCAACCGAAGGGTAAGTGTCTGCAACCACAACTATCCAGGACTAGGAGTCTCTTTTGAAACAAAATCTAACTTCAAAAACTGCAGGTCTGACAATAATGCTGCTACCCTAGAGTCTTCACAGGTTCAACATTTGCAGTATGAGCAAGAAATGTCGAAGCCTTCATTCCGCAGCCACAACAACTCCTTTTAAGTACCTGGCAATGCGGTATGTGTTACACGGTCCTATGTAACCCTAGAAGTTAGCTATTGAGATAAGGGTGTCATCACGCTTATATAGTGCATCATATTAATTTCATACCCAGACATTGTGGGACTTCGCTTCACAGTATGCTCAAGCAAAAGGTCCTCGACCCACATAAAAGCTGTAATAAATATTGTGGAGCCTTCAAGATTAGGATGTCAACATGGATAAAAAAAAAAAACTTGAAAATAAGCTTGCCCAGAATGATGACACCATGAGAAGGGATTCACATAATGTTAAGAGTCTTCTATGATTGTGGTCCAACTTGTTTTGGGTGAGGATTGACTTCCCTAGCCTTCCAAGCGGAGTCCATGAGCACAGAAGCAAAAATCAGAATTTTATTCAACTTATTAGAATATAGTTATATTAACAAAATATATATTTAGATTGTTAAGGATTAAGATGGTTTACCTTACTTGACCTTTTTTTGCTTCTTTTTAATGTGATATTTTCAGTATTTAGTAATCCTTTCTTATATTTATTTTTATAATCTCTCCTTAGCTTTCTTTGGTTGACTTTTACAGAGTTAGAGCCATATTTTGCCCCTTTTTTCATTTCACTTTTCACTCCCCGGATGATGGAAAAAGACATTAATTTCTAATTTTTGGTGCAAATGATATTCAAAGTTCATACTAGTCTTGTCATGCTGTTTGAAAACATTTTTTTTTCTACAAATAATTAGTACTGTCATAGACGTCATACTGTTCATCATACCAATTAGACCTTAACAAGTACTCAACTAAATTGAATTAATTAAAAGAGAAGACTATATTAAAGAAATTGGTCAATTACGCATTCCAAGCAACTTACAAGAAAACTCCATGAAACTGTTCTGTGCTTGTCTCTGTTTTGTGATTTATTCTTGAAAAAATGACTAGTTTTATTTTCCTACTTGAAATATAGAAGCCTGAGAATACTGATGAAAGTCCTTAATTTACTTCTTTTCTGGTTTTTCATATTTTCCATCTTAACAATGTTGGCAATCTTCATGTATTTGAAAAATAAATTTTGTTTGTGTACTTAACAACAAACGAAATACAGAAGAAATAAAGAAAATGAGAGAATTTGTTTGATTACAAAAATCAAACCAGAAAATAAAATAAAATAAACAAAACAGATTTTTATTTTGTTACAAAAACAAATGAAAATCTGAAATAGAAAAATAATAAAACAGAAAAATAAATTAACAACTTACTTTATTAATTTGTTGAACAAATTTTCTGATCAAGTCTAGTGTTTAACATTGTGTCCTTAAGACAGATTCGTCCTCTCCACGGTGCTTTCAGATTGTGGACGTCTATCTCCCAGGATAAAATGATCAACTACAAACAAACAGTAGTAGCACTACAAACTGTTTGCACAACGAACACACTGTGTGTTTACACTCTTTTTTACAGGAAAAAATTAATGCAGCAAAATGCAGAGATTGAAGCAGCAGAGAAGAATGAAATACGAAATTTCTGAATGACAAAAATCAAAAGAGGGTCTGTCTATTTATAAATGAATTCGTGGCTGTACAGATTTGAATGAACAAGTACAAGACCTGTTCAGTTTTGAATCAAACCTGTTCGGTTTGAATTTGCTGAATCTATTCGGTTATAGAACAGATAGGAACCTGTTGGATTTAATTCAAACATATTTAAATCTGTGCGGACAGATATGAAACCTGGACAGAAATATTGATGAGGTGCAAAAAAATTTTGAATTTTTCCAACCAAAATTTGAAATTAAACGGTCAGATTTTTTTTTACCAAAAAGTAAAATTAAATTCAAATGTTTTTTGCCCCAAAATATAAGTATTGGGCCGAATAAACATGTTTATTTTTGAGTCCAATGGGTCTAGCCCAATTTGCCCATAAACTTATCCTTCTACAAACTGGGGTGCCCATGGGACCCTCTCCAAGTTACAATCCCATGCTTTATACACCTACTCAAAACTTACCCACCAAATCAACGTGGGATAAGCTTTAAACCAAACATTTAGGAAATTTCACCAAAAACACTATTTCCATGGAGCTCACTTTGGCTTCAATTTCTCATTCACCCGATAATGGTTTTGAGCAACCAAATATACTGCGTGAATCACAACGCGGTATAGAACGCATTATCACTTAGACCCGCCAACTTTGGCGTATGGATCCCACCTAAAAAATAGACCAAAGTTAAGGAAAAATCATATTTTCTAACAAACAATCTGTGCTGCAGTAGATACAATCGGTGCCAATCAAACCATTAGAGATGGGGAGACTTTAGTTTCAGCCGGAGGAAGCTTTGAACTCGGATTTTTCAGCCCCGGCAGTGGTAGGTCCAGAAAGAGATACTTGGGAATATGGTACAAGGACACAGCTACTGGGACTGTGGTATGGGTTGCCAACAGAGATTTCCCACTCAATGACACATCCGGTCTTCTGAAACTAACCGATCAAGGAATTCTCGTTCTTTTAAATAGCACAGAGGGGGTCGTTTGGTCTTCCAATTCATCAAGATTTACAAACAGTCCACTAGCACAACTTTTGGAGTCTGGAAATCTTGTTGTCAACGACGGGAATGGAAATAATATGGAGAGCTTTTTGTGGCAGAGTTTTGATTATCCATCTGATACACTTTTAGAGGGCATGAAGTTTGGGATGAACATGATGACTGGGCTGGACTGGTACCTGTCATCCTGGAAGAGCAGTGATGATCCAGCGTGAGGTGATTTTACATACGGACTTGATCCAGGTGGATACCCACAATTTGTCATAAAGAATGGTTCAGTTGAAAAAATCTGGCTTGGACCGTAGAATGGTCTTCGGTTCAGTGGAGTGTCGAATTTGAAGCAGAACTCAATTTTTACATTCGAGTTTGTGTTTAAACAGGTGGAGATTTATTACCGATGTGAGCAGATAAACAGCTCGGTTGTTACAAGGCTAGCTAGTGTTGAATCCGAATGGGGTCATCCAGCGGTTTTTGTGGATCAATCGAACTCATGGCTGGATTGTGTACACAACTCCACAGACAGACAACTGTGATTTTTATGCATTGTGCGGTGCATTTGGAAGTTGTAATATTGACAGTTCCACCATGTGCCAGTGCTTGCAAGGATTTGAGCCCAAATACCTACGCGAATGGGATGTGGCAGACTGGTCTAATGGGTGCGTTCGCAGGACTCAGTTGGGTTGTGGGGTTTCAAATGGTTTTCTTCAATATTCCAATGTTAAATTGCCAGATATGCGGTATTGTTGGTTTAATGAGAGCATGACACTTGATGAATGTCGGATTGGATGCTTGAAGAATTGCAGTTGCACAGCTTATGCAAATATGGATATCAGGGGAGGAGGAAGTGGATGCTTTTTATGGTTTGGTGACTTGATTGATATAAGAACGTATAGCACAAATGGGCAAGATGTTTATGTAAAGGTAGCTGCTTCAGAATTAGGTATGGAATATCTGTTTTAAGGCAATTAAAATTGATGCAAAGACGAAATTTTTTTCATAGAAAGTGCGCATTGTAGTGCTGCTGTCACTGCATTTTGTGCATTTTTTTAGAAGAATTTGTGTTTTTATTGTTTTTTCTTTCTTTCTTTATTATTATTATTTTTTTAAATTGAGTTTTCCTTTACGAAAGAGTTGAATAAAAAAGAAAGCCACTTGCATTCTGTGAAATATCGTATTTGACCCTGGTTCTAACTCGCATCATCTGTATAATGCAGTTTATACAAAAAATATGATTTAATAACTGATAGTATAAGATTCAGTAACAAACCACTATTTATTTGAGTCACAGCCTAACAGTGCAGAGTTCGATGAAGTTTCCAGAGAGTTTTAACCGTGGAAAAAATCTTAAGTCTCTTCCTTCTTGACTCTACCTTTGTGATGATAATTAATTCACATTTCTCATGCCTTAATATTCCCCCAAAATACAATTAGTCATATATTTCCTGCTTTTAATAGTTTACATATAGGTCGAATTGGCGCCAAAAAGCTTAGGCGGAGGACCATAGCAATCAGCTTGGCATTATTAGCAGGAGTGTTTCTGACAGGTCTTAGCCTGACCATTTACCTTTGGAAAAAGAAGCAGAAGCAGCAGCAGCATCAAATTAGCGAAGGTAAGTCAAATGAGTCATTAGAACTTAAAATGCCAGCAAAACCAATGAAAGCCAAAAGCAAAGATCTAGAGTTGCGGCAGTTTGACTTTGCTACCATAACTTATGCTACCGATAACTTCTCAATTAACAATAAACTTGGAGAGGGCGGTTTTGGACTAGTTTTTAAGGTAACAATTAGACATATTTCTAGCTATGCAGTTTCTTTGATAGTAGTTGATGGCCTAACTTCTCAATTAACAATAAACTTGGAGAGGACGATTTTGGACCAGTTTTTAAGGTAACAATTAGACACATTTCTAGCTATGCAGTTTCCTGGATAGTAGTTGATGGCCTATGCCTGTGGTATCTACTGACTACTATCAGAAATGGCAATTGTCTTCAGGGCGTGTTGGAAGACGGGCAAGAAATAGCTATAAAGACATTCTCGAAGAATTCCAAGCACGGGGTTGATGAGTCCAAAAATGAAGTCATATATATTGCTAGACTCCAACACCGGAATCTTGTGAAGCTTCTCGGCTACTGCTTTCAAGGAGAAGAGAAGATGTTGATCTTTGAATACATGCCTAACAAAAGCTTAGACTTGTTCATTTTTGGTGCGGTTCTCTTCAAACCTTGCTATTTTCGGCACAAAAAACTAGTTATACTTTTCATACATGGCTATATCATAATTTGTTGGGAACAATGTCAAGTGAAGGGACCAATAACTTTTTATTTCCATTTTCAGATCAAACATGACACTTGTTACTAGATAGGCCTAAACGCCTCAACATTATCAATGGAATTGCTAGGGGACTTCTTTATCTTCATCAAGATTCCAAACTGAGAATTATATATGGAGATTTAAAAGCTAGTAATATTTTACTAGATAATGAAATGAACCAAAAAATATCAAACTTCAGCATGGCGAGACATTTTGGAGGAAATGAAAGCGAAGCTAACACAAGCAGAGTGATTGGAACATAGTAAGTATTTCTTTCTTGTCATGTTCTCTAAAATGCCCTCCTATTTAGTCGGTAATATTTTTTTTTCTTCTTTTTCAATAATTCAATCAGTGGTTATATGTCTCAAGAGTATACAATTGATGGGATATTCTCAGTAAAATCCGATGTATATAGCTTTGGCGTCTTGGTCCTAGAAATAGTTAGTGGGAAGAGAAACAGAGGATTCTCTCACCCAGAACACCACCTCAACCTTCTTGGACATGTAAGCTTTGAGCAACCAATTTCAATTTGTGTTGAGAATTTAAAACTACTTCTGAAAACGGTTTCGATTTCTCAAGTCTGGAAACTCTGTATAGAAGGCAGGTCTCGGGAACTAGTTGATCCATCAGTGGAAGAATTAGAAAATCTATCCGAACTTGTACGAGCAATTCATGTGGGTTTGTTATGTGTGCAACAATATCCAGAGGATAGACCAAACATGTCGACTGTGGTTTTAATGTTAGGCAGTGAGGGTGGATTGCCTCAGCCTAAACATGTCCTGCCTGAGAAAGGTTCTTCAACAAGCACACGTGAACCAGGTTCAGACAACATTGTTAGTGCCACAGTTACACTGTTGGAGGGAAGATAGAGGAAGACAACTACCTGAGAATATATTTTTCACACAAAAATGACTTAATTTAATGGAAATATCTTGTATTATAAGCACCTTTCATTTTAATTTTGGTGTTTTGCTAATTTGGCAAAAATAGCCTTGAGGATTTCTTCATCACTCAATTTTGATTTTGTTCTCACAGAGCCACAGAACAGAACCCAAGAGCGTGGATTGGTGTAGCATGTAGGCTCTGTTCATATGCTTGGATCATCTTGCAGCAATATTAAGCACACAAAATGTTGGTTTTTTTCATAATAATACAAAATATATATACATAATAAATTAAATAAAAATGACAAAAATAATTTTTTATTAAAGGATGTAATACAAAATAAACGACACAACTAAATACATAAATGAATTATATTACATTACTAATAGAATAAATTATTAACGTGGATAACTAAAAATTAGAACTCATCTTTGTAAATTAAATATTGAAAAATTTAAAACAAATATCACGACCCGCTTCCCGTACCCCAGAGTTAAGTATCGTGATGGCTAGTAACTGAGGTTACCTCCAGCCAATTCTTAAATAAATTAATAAACGCGAGCAGAAATAATATTTAAGTGAGGGTACCAAAATAATCATTAGAACTTCTATTTTTATTGCAAAAATTTATTGACAAAAAATGCCGATATTTACATATAAAAATATCATAAAGTGTTGTGTGTGTCTACTCCGCAGCCCCGCGTCTAAGACTTTCCAAAAACTATTTCTGAATTACATTGTTTCCTGAAAATTGGTAAACAGCTATAAGCACATAGCAGAGTGAGAAATATTATACCAAGAGTATAAGGGGCCCAAAATAACCATGGATAGTTATGTAACTAAAATATTTAAAATAACTTAGTCTAAACAAATAATCATTTAAGTAGAAAAACTGAGATTATATAAGTAAATAACTATAACCACAGTACCGAACATAACAGATGTATGGACTCAAGCGGTGGCTCGTACGAACTCTAGAGATGGCTCCCACAATAGTGTAACACTTAACTCCGTACAACACTTTGCTCCACACCAGAAATCACAGGTGTGACAGTCAGAACGGAGGTACGTATTCAAGAGGTAGCTCGCACGGATTATAGAGGTGGCTCCCACAATAGTTTAGCACTTGTCTCCGCACAGCAGTTTGCTCCGCACAGAACAGAGGTCAATAGATTCATGACAATAAAGGGCCACAAAGTGACCAAACAGAGGCCAATGGTTATTTAAGTCTCCAAGGCATGGAACTTCCGTGGTGGTACTTACAAACATAATTGTTTATAAGGTCATTGTCAAATATTCTTTAAAATATAAACAAACATATACATAGGTTTCATTTTAAGCAAATAGGGTTCAGAAAATAATCCACGTAATTGAAATATTAATATAATTTATAATAACTTAGAAAACATAACTTGTATAAAATAAATTATGGTAAGTCAAAACATACATAAAATATATTATGGTGACTCAAGGTATAATGTAACTCATATTAACTTTAATACCTCACTCTTTCTTTCCACTATCAAGGACCTTTTCGACTTCTGTTATTTTCTTTCCCTTTTCTTTGTTTCCTTTCCTTCCTTTCTCTCTTCTTTTCCTTTCTTTCTCTCTCCTTTCTCACACCACTAATCACCTCCTCCCTATTTATACGGAGGTAAGAACGTGGCCCGGGTATCTTTCCCAGATTTGATTCATAAATTATATAGATTCATACTTATCTTTAATAAATATTTAAGATAATTATATTTTGACCCAGTTTTCTAATATAGCTATATAAATAAATCAATCCCTAATTAAATTACCCTCTATCGTATACCAACAGAAAATTAATTATTTATATTACTACCACACCCATTATTATTATTATTATTATTATTATTATTATTATTATTATTATTATTATTATTATTATTATTATTATTATTTAGTCACTCTTACTTTTATATTTATTTATTCACTATCTTTAACTTTAATTTGGCTCAACTAGTATTATAATTTCATATTTCTATTAATTTGGCCCCACATAATAATCCCTAATTGATCCCATATTTGATAGTCCAATGCCAAATTAGATTATGTATTTATTATTATTTATTTAATAATATATTATCACATATGTAGACACCCCATTTTTTACCGTCGTCAAGACTTGGACGTCATCATTTGAACACTCGCTGATCATCCATGCTCGTGTTCGTTTTGAGTTCCCGAAGGTCTCGGCTGCGCGCCTTGCCTTAGGATCTCTCAACTTGTCTGTTTTGTGCATGGTTATGGACCAAGGACTTGTGGTTTTGCTTCTGAAGGAAAGGGGTGACTTGTTGGCCATCCCCTCAACCCATCGGCCAAGGCATGGTGCCATCGGCCTTGTTTTCTTGCCATCGGCCATAAGTGGTGGCCGATCGATACTCTTTTTGGTCGATCGACCATATTTTTGAGCCGAGACCTTTCCATTTGCTTTTTGCAGATATTTTCTGCCAGCTGTGACAGCTGGTGGGCACAATTCTCATCCTCTATACACGTGTATGGAGGGATTGCATTCAAGACTCAAGCTTGTTCAACAAGCTTGAGAATTGAAATTCTGTAAGAAGGGAGCCTCCCCTCTCTTTCCAGAGGTTCTAAAAAAGTGGATATAGAAGTTATATATCTATCTCTCTCTATATTTTACCTCTCTCTCTCTATTGGCTCTTGTTTGTACTCAAAAGTGTGATTTCTTCATACTATTGCACACAAACACCTACTAGAACACCATCCTTTGGTTGCTGAGGTCCTTAGGAGTTGGTTTTAGAATTCTTGGAGTGGTTTAAGCTTAGAAAAGTTGCTGGAATTGTGTTCTTGAAGGTGTTCTTTAAGGGTGAGTCAACTACCTTTTAATCTCCCATTTTGGCATAAGCTTTTAGACCTATTTGCATATTGTTTTAAGCTTAACTCTAAACTACAAAAAGTTCTGATTTTTCATGCTTGTGATGTTTGTTTAAGGTCACTTTTGTGTTGGGGGTTGTCTACCCCCTCTTAGGCCTTGTTTGGCCTTGTTTTGTGCCTTCCTTTTTGAGCTTTGGAACCATCTTGTTTTGACCTTCTCACCACTGAAATCCAGAGGATTTTTAGTGGTGGAAAGGTGGTTTTGGAGTCTTAAATAGGAGAGGGACACCCCCCCTCTCCTTGTGTCTCATATGCTAGTATAAATGGATCATAATGGTAGCATGTTTGCTTAGCTTGTTTTGGCTCCATTTCAGCAAGTATTTGGTGTTATTTTGCCATGCTATACCTCTGTTTAAAGTTGGCTTGATGACCTCTTGCATGCACCATACACTTGTAGAGCAATTTTGCATGCTAGCATAACATGCATCTTGTGTTTGGACCATCATTCTTGCATATTTTGGCTCAACTCAAAGGAGCTTTTAGCCTTGTTTTACCATGCTCTAGCTCTTATTTGTATTGTCTTGGTCATGCATGCATTGTTTTGTATAGCCATGGTTCAATCTAGCTTGTTAGCTTTGAGTGGCCAAGTCACTAGCATGCATTGCTTGGATCATTTTCATGATTTGGCATCATTTCATATGAGATTTCAGTCCATATAGTGTGGCCATGCATTCATATTTGTCACCTTTTCCATGCATTGGGAGGTTTGTGTTTTATGCTTTAAGAGTGGGTCATTATGCATGCCTCTATGTTTAGGTCTTTAGGATGCCATCTCAGTGGATTTTGGGGCTTATTTTGACATGCCATAACTCTTTTTTTTTATTGATTTATTGATTAAGTCATGCCATGTTTGGTTGTAATAAGTGTAGTGTAACACCCCTTTGTTAGCCTTGCATGCTTCATGCCTTTGGTGCTTTGTTCTAGCTTGTGTTGGATAGGTTCAAGCTTGTTTTTGGTCTTGTCTTGACCTGCCTTGGGACTGTTTTGGTTGCCCTTGGCCCTTTGAGACTTGCTTTGCATGGTCATGGTTTAAGTCCCTTTGCTAACCTTGAGCTTTGAGCCTCTTAATATGCTATACTTGTTTTGTTTGGTTAATTTGGCATCATTCCATGCTTAATTTCAAGGCTTATAGTATTGTCACTTGTCCACAATTTTCACTCTTTAAGTGCTCTTAAGAGTTGGTGTCTTCATGCCTTAATTCTTGGGCCAATTGGCATGCATGCTTGTCTTGCATTTCATGTCATCATTCATCACTGTGCCCACTGTTTTTGGCATGGCTGAGGTCTGTCCATCTTCAGTTTAAGTCCATTGTGTATGTGTCTTGCATGTTGTTGCATGCTTGTTCCATTTTGTGGTTGTTGCATGCTTGTCGCAATGCTTGATTTTTGTATGTTGTTGCATGCTTGGTACATTGCATGTTTGCATGTCTAGATTGCATTGCATTTTGCATACTTGTTACATTGCATTTGGCATGCTTATGTTGCATTGCATAACATCTCCATGTTGCATGCATTGCATTGTGTTTGGTTTGGGTGTTAAACCAAACACGAGGAACGAAGGACGTTTCATACTTGAAGTGATGAAACGTGCCTCAATTCTCGGTCGCTGACACTCTTGATCCAACATGATAGAGTGTGAGGCATTCATATGTTTTGTGCATTCTTTCCATATTGATTTACGCAATTCGGCCTCTTTGGCCATCATGCATCGGAATGCATGATTGATGGCTCGAGAGTCGAACACTACACTCCTTTGAGTCTCAAACATGATAAGGGGTGTAGTTGCACAACATTTTCTTGCAAATGTATTGCCATGCCCTTGTTTGTACTCTGCTGCAGTAACAAAAGGAGCAGTCTGCAGGAAGAGATGGTCGATCGGCTATCTGGAGTGCCGATCGGCTAATAATTTTTGACCGATGGACTCAAAAATGGTCGATGACCCATTTCCCTTGGCCGATGGCCATACCATTTGGCCGATGGCCTCTCAGAGTGTCCATGGGGTGGTTCAGAGGCATCACAGAAGCTGGAATAGTTTTCAGAGGAGCATAAGTGTGCAAACAGAGGCAACATGGGGCATGGCAACGGATTTCCGAGCGAAGCCGATCGAGCATGCATTTGTCCCTCCTCTTGAGG